ACCTCGGCCAGGAGGTGTGGGACCTCGGCCAAGACCTCCTGAGTTCACCCAGCTAGGTCGTTTTAGCCTAGATCATCTCCGTGCATCTCAGCCTAGACCTGGTTGGTACCCAGCATGTTTTCCCGAGATGAAAAGGTAGTGTTGTAACTCCCAGCATGTTTTGCTTTGTTTTGACTTGATTTTTTGAAAGAAATGCCGAGATCCTTTCCTGCCATAAAAAGCTAGTTTTAAGGATGCATTTCATATCCATCTTTGAGCATCTCACCTTGTCTAATTGAAACGCATTCAATGGGGTTTATTATGTGCTTGTAGGCCTTGGATCCTTGCTTGTAATTCCTTCACCCGAAGAACTATGTGAGTGGTATTTTTAATAAAGCTATGTTGAAATGTTTTGATGAAAGCTTTGCTTTGCTTTCTGGGGGATCCTCACCCAATCTCACCTCATCGCTGACCAGCGTCGCACGCCACTGCTAGCGCCACCGTCACCGCCGCCGCCGCATCCTCACAGGTTCTCTCTCACTCTCGGTCTGTCTGTCTGTTTCTCTCTATTTCTCACTCTCTCCCTCTCTAGCCTTTTCCCTCAGTCTCTCTTTGTCTCTCTCTCTCTCTATATATATATGTATATAATGCAGTGAATTTTAGTACGGAGAGAGGGATTTGGTCCATTTCTTGATTGACTATTGCTGAGAGTGAAGGGTTTAGTGGGTTGTGCCAGACACATGGTGGATTGATTCCATTTGGGTTCATTTCTTCAAAGGGATGAAGGCTAACTCTGATTAAGAGTACTTTATGTAGTTTTCCTTCTTATTTTGTCCCTCTCTTGACCATTCCTGTCTCGCTCTTTTGTTTTCTTCTGTACATTTTATCTGTATATACACATATATACATATATACATATATATATATTTGTTGTATAGTTTGTGCAATGGAGAGGTACGGTCGAGCAACGGCAATGGAAGGGTCGCAGTCTGATCCAGGAGGTGAAACCGGGCTCGAAGGTCAGTCCACTGACACTCATTACTTCAAATTTCGTTGAATTTCAATTGAATTTCGATTCGATTTGTTGCGAATTTGGGAATGTGGAATGTGTTTTTGAATTGGGTTTATGATTTTGCAAATGCAGTGCCTATGTGGCAGTTGGGGTTCGGGAGTGGTGTCGAGTCTTACCCGGAGCGGCCCGACGAGGCCGATTGTATCTACTATTTGAGGACCGGGTTTTGCGGGTACGGTTCGCGGTGTCGGTTCAATCATCCCCGGGACCGGGGTTCGGTAATTCTTCAAAGTCCCCATTTTTTTGTGTATATGTTAGGGCTTAATTAAAGGGTTTTTGATGAATGTTATGGGTGATCGATTGACCCAATTCACAAATTCAAAATTCAAAATTCAAAATTCAAAATTCAAAAACTCTACTTTGCCAAACATGCATGTATTCAAATGTGGCCTGGAATCAATTTTGAAAACTTAAATCAAACATAACATTAAAATATAAGGGTGAAAAATTGATTTGAAACTCAAACCAAACACAGCCTCGGTTTTTCTTCATAATATTGGTATTCTTGATCCTAGAATCAGCACAACCGGTGTGTTTTGTGACTCATGATGGAACAGTGCTTCACTTATTGCTCCATTGCCCTTCTATTTGGAGAATTTGGTCGGATTTGTTATCATGGTGGGGTTTGCAGTGGGTTCTTCCAGACTCTATTGAAGTTCTGTTGCAGTGGTAGGAAGGTTTAAGATTCAAAACACCATTTGGGAAGCTATGGAAAGCTATTCCAAGTACGGTGATGTGGTCAGTGTGGAAATGAGCTTAAGTTTCAGGACTACTAGAGAGGAGTTGTTTGACCTGATCAAAGTAAGACTGGCTTTATGGGCTAAGTACAAGATCTTAAATTTGGATTACTCTACCACTAATATGGTATACAATCTTGGCTCTATCAGGTGGAGGGATAGTTAGCAGCAGCCTCCTGTTTTCTGCATTAGCCTTTGTATGCTTTGTTATGGTTGAATTCTCTTTAGCCACCCTTTTGGATAGTGCTGCAGATGATATTGCTTTGCTTTTGGTGCCAACCTAGTTGGAATTATATGCATTGCTTTGATGCTTAGAGCACTATTCCTGCATTTGTCTTGCTTTCCTTTATTGATGTTGTTATAAGGTTCTAATACCAATCACTCATCTAGTCCATAAGCCTTCAACAAATTCCAAAGGCTTCTCTACACTTCCATAGGTTGAGAACCATTTCAACTATCATTGTTATTTTAAATTGAAGCTAAATATTAGTTCCTGTCTAGCCTCTACACTTACTGTATGCAGTAAATAGTATACAAAATTCAGGAACCTTGCACTAAGAGTGAACATAAGAAAATGTAAGATGCATCTTTGAAGAAAATGTGACAATCTTTGTCGGTCACCACTTGAAATCATGGCATTTAAACTTTGAAAGGTTACTTACCTTCAAATGAGGCTTACATAATTAGCCCTACAAAAAAGGTTAGACAATGGCTTATCTTACCAACACTGTGTTAACATCTCATAGGCATAACATCAACAATTTACTGGACACAACAATCTACATTATCTATGCTAATGTGCAACGGTTACTCAAACGATGAATGCAGCATTAAGGAGTTGGCTAATCTTCAGATCTAGGTACACTGCTTCAAGCCTCAGCCATTACAGAATGACAAAGATTCAATGCAGCAATGTGAACCTTCAAATCCCATTTGTCAGAGTGAAAACATTGAACTCAAACTTGCTTACAGATGACAAAATGAGATAATTCAATAACCAGAATTAAACCACGTGAAGCAAAACAACAGAGCAATTGTTTGTTGAGTTGGTATCAAAAGAAACATCCTCATCCACTCTCATCTACATGCCCGTATGCTATTTACTTTGCAAGAGCCAACTTTTCCTTATACAATTTCAATAGCTCAGGAGCTTCTTCCTCATGACAGTTGACAAACTTCTTTAGGAACCACTGTTCAGGTTTCTTCAACATATTTGTCAAGTTAAAATTGTTGTTCTTAATCAAACCTTTCGACAACAATACTTGATACACTGCACACCTTGGAACAATCCTCTTTTCTAAGCTATAACCAATAAGTATCGGACTTCTTGCAAGAAACGAAGAATCCCAACCCATTTTATTGACATAAAATTCCATCACTCTCATGATCTTATGCTCGGACGCCATCATACACCACGGATATTTCTCAAAAGCCACAAGAATCTCTTCAGCAGACCAACCCCACTTCTTATAAACTTCAACCTTCTTCGCCCACGTCGATTTACTCATTGAGCTAACCGCTTGAAATGCTATGACAAACTTCAAGCTCACAGGATTAAAACCCATTTTCTGTACCTCATTCACAATATTTCTAAACCTATCACTAGTCGTCATGAATCTTCTAGGTTCGTGCTTAAAAAAGGACACAATCTTCGCATTTGGCACACCTGCTTCTCTCAGAATTTCAATATTGGGTACTACAGAAACTTGAAGATCAAAGAAGAGAACCCTGGCACAGCGTTTAATAATTTCCACTGGGGAATCCGTCAATTTTTTTAAAAGATTGAAAGATGGGATGATTGTGTTTTCCAAGCTTCTTTTGAGAATACTTGGCTCTGAAGATAGTATTTTGACAACATCAGTGCTCGAAACACCTTTAGATTTGAAAAACTGGAATTTGGGGAAAAAGGTTTTCTCCGGTTTACATAAGATTACTGGAGGATGCTTCCTTACGAGATTTGAGATCTGGGTTTTGGTGAAGCCGTGGTTCTCCAAAAATACGAGGACAGAGTCAGGTTTATTTGGAGTTTTAAATTTGACATAGTTCGATGCTGAGATAGCTTTTTCTAGAGGAAACCCACACGAGTTTATGAAGTAATTCACTGCGAATGAGTGTTGATTTGGAGTGGTTTCGAGTGATGATGATGATGAAAAGGGGTGGTTTTGAACGAAATAGAGATTGTGGTGGTGGGTTGGTGAAGAAGCTATAGTAGCAGACCTCAAATGGTGTAAAGATTTGCAGATTAAACTAGACATTGACATTGATGAAATTTTTTAGCCAAATGATGAGGGAATTACCTGTTCTGCAGAGGATTTCTTCACAGCGTTAGAACTTTTTGCCCTAAAACCCACTTCTTTCATGAACCATTTCACAGTGCGAGCCCAGAAACAATGGGGGTAATTACAATTTTTTGTACCTCTTTAAAAATAATTTTAGGTAAGTGTTAGTAAATTTTATAAATATTAATAATTAATAAGATAAATTATAATACATTTTTTAAGAATTACTTAAAATACGAATTGTTCTAAAAATTATATCATCTCCCTTAATTGTATAACAAATGACTATTTTTATTAATAAATTATTAAGTCAACTAATTATTTTTAATAATGTCATAAATATATTTTAATTAATGATTTATGTAATTTTATTGTTGTTTATGAGAATAGTTAGAAATCTTATTTTTTTCTATTAATTCTATTAAACAATTTTTTTTAAAGGGGGTATTTGCAATTTTCAAGACGACATGGAGTAATTTGCATTTTAAGTAAATCTTTAAAGAATGTATTTATAATTTATCTTAATTAAAATTATAATTTTTTCATGAATCTTTAATTATTTTGTGAAAAATCACCGATTTGTAATTATCTCTATAATAATTGTAGATATTCCGCGCGAGAAAATGTTTAAGACACTCGTGCATATTATTGATGAGAAAAAATTAGATTTATTCAATAAAAATATTTTATTTTATCATGTTGATTTATTAAAAATTATAATATACATGAAGGTCTTATAAATAAATTAATTATATTATCCAAAAAGGGATCATAATGAATTTGGACAGACCTAATTTATAATTTATTATCTTTTTATATATCATCTTATCAGAGATACAGGAATAGAGATGACATGAAGATTGAGGAGGGTGGTTGAACTTGGCCTTCATTTGACATAAGTTAAAATGTGACTTTTTTGTTAAAATAGTCAAAAAAAAATAATAATAAAATAGACTTTATAGTTTAATAAGATAAAATATCGCATCTAAATCATAATTATTTTATTTTTTCTCTTAAAAAAGTCAAAAAATCTATCTAAAATAAGACTTTTTAGCCATAAATTAAAATAATTAAAAAAATTAAAAAGTTAAAAAATCAACTCACATTCTAAAGACGTAGATAGATTCCATGAGGTTATTTTTTGTATTAAATGAGATGATAGAAGGCTTATGAAAAATTTGAAATTTGTTGGTGGGTCCAAAAGATATATAGATAATAGGGATCTAAAACATTTATGTGATAGCTACGTAAATTTTTGTATGTATCATGAAGCCATAAAAAAGCCAAAATGGTGTACCAAAAAAAAAAAAAAGCCAAAATACTATAACCAAAAAAAATGAAAAACCAAAAATACCCAAAGTTTTCGTTTAACTTAAAACGGCCAACCAAACACGCTTGTAGGCTTGAATGCCAAAAAGTCAATTTGAAGCCGGTGTCGAACTGGCTGTATGTATTAGATCAAATGGATTGCATATTTAAGGCACAACAAACTTACCTTGTGCCATTACTATGGGTTTATATGGAGAATATCAATAGGGGTTCAAAAATATTAGTTAGACAAAATTAAAAAACATAAAATATATTGTGCAATTTAAATTTATTTTAAATGTGCTTTATATTAATATAATGATATATTTTGTGTATTATTTCCAAGCCCGTACTCTAAACAACTCAAGTGAAGACATACCTTGTCTTAGGTATTGGGTTTAGCTCACAAAAAAACTTGACTTCTATTTTCATGACTCGACCGCATGTTGACCCTTATTAACAACCATTGTTAATAAAAGTGACATACGTAATATATAATACAAATAATTGAGATCGGATTACAAATAATATTTTCAAACACAACCTATTTAGTAAACAAATCTAAAAAATCATTCCAAACCTATTTCATGGGCTTCAATATTAATTCCAAACTCATTAAAAAAACAAGTTAAAATGAACGGGTGTAAAAGGCCATCAAACTAGTATCTATCCCTAATTATTAATATTTAAATAACTGCGATCGGACGACAACGAATATTTTCAAACTCGGCATATTTAATAAACAAATCTAAAAACTCATTCTAGACTTATTTTATGAGCTTCAATATCAATTCCAAATCTTTAAAATGACATGTTAAAATGAACAAGTTGAAAAGACCATCAAACTCGTACTTATTCCTAATTGTTAATAGTTAAACAAGTGAGATTGGATTACAATGAATATTTTCAAGCACGACCTATTTAATAAACAAATCCAAGAACTAATTCCTAGCCTATTTAAAAAGACAAGTCAAAATGAATAGGTTGAAAAAACCTTCAAACTCGTATTTATCCCTAATTAATATGCATGTTCTAAATTGATAATTCTTTGCTTGGTGTAAAGTTTTTAAGAAAGAAACTTTCACGTGCACATTCACTAATATTCTTAAGGATGAGAGACAAAATGAGAAAATACAAATCAATTTAAAGATGTAATATGGAGTCAATTTTTATCTCAGGGAGTTCATGATTTTTATATTAAATTAGCCAATGACATGCGCTGAAAAACAAAAAAGTTAAACATCATAATCAAAAGAATTAAAAGAGCACAAATGTGGAGTGCTTATTTGCATTGGGGCAATTCTTACTTTTGGCAATGTTCTCACAGGAAAAGAAGGGAGCTTCTATATACACACACACAACACACTTTCTACACATCCCCCTCTCTACACTTTCCACACACCTCCTTCATTAAGTGTGTGTGGAGAGGGGGTTTAGTGTGTGTATATAGAAGCTCCCGGAAAAGAATAGAAGCCGGATATATGGTTTTGTTTTCAAAATTTATTTTGCAAAAAATATTTAAAATTAATTTCATTAAAAATAATAATAATAATTCAAAAATAATTATCATTTTCATATTTTTTAAGTTTTTTTTTGTAGTGTTCAATTGCATCAAACTAAATTTTAGAATTAAAAAAAAGGAAGCAGCTTGCCTCCAGTCTGAAATCGGACTGGACGGTGCTATTTGGATCGTGGAGGTCCACCACGGGTCCCGTTTTGATAATCTAAACCGTTTAATGTATAGAACTTGTCGAGTATTATATGTTTATAAAAAATCACATTGATCGGATATCGATAGTTGTAACGCCCTCAATTTAAGACATAAATCATTCATTCATAAGTCCTATGAATATAAAGGAATAATACATTTTCATTTATCAAAGTCTTCTTTACAAGGGATATTACATGTTAACAACAAAGTAAATGTCATACGGGCTTACAACTTTTCAAGTTATCACTTGGTTACAACAGAAAAAGAGTTCTAACTCTATACATAGAAAGCCCACGGCTTGAATATACATGTAACACCAAAACAAAATAACCAAAAGGAAGTCTTCAACTCCTAAACCTCCCAAGCTAAGACGTTGGCGATTGCATGTCTCCTGTACTTGAAAAATGGTGTCCCGAGTAGGGTGAGCCAAAACCCAGTAAAGATATGCTAAGCAGTATATGAGAATTAACTAAAACATTAGCATTCGATAAATGTTTAACACTTATAAAAGCATCCTACATGTTTCCATAATCAGTCAACATTGACTCCCATATTCCAATTCACTTCTAGTTATTTACTCGAGTCAATTCATTGGCATAGTTCATTATCATACAAACAATTCAAAATGAAACTACAACTCATTTATCAACACTTCAATCCTAAACATCATTCATACACTTCCATATCTTGCCATTTTACGAAACTACGTCCAAGAGAACCGCACCCAAATATATATATAATTTCGAGACTTTTACCCTGGACACTCCGGCCAACTTAATTATCAATGGTGTCCATCCTCTATCTCCTCCCACACAATGGAGTACATCCCCTATCTCCTCCCAAACAAAGATACATATACAATGTATTTACACACGTTATCATATACAATGACCAATTCAATCACATATATAATGTTTACATCCAGCCGTCATATTCAATGACATAACCCAATTGATTAGTTTCAATTTACCTAATCATCATGAAATTTCTACAACAATCATAGCTATCCTCCACCGATAGTTTAAAACAGTTATTTCTAAACAAATAAATAAATCTATTAACAGATAATTTATTAGCTCTTCCTTAGGTGAGTGATTTATCAATACAACTACACCATTTAGTCATAATTTCCTCCAATTTCATAATTTTCAAACTAATTTCATATTTCCATAATGATTTCATCATTTACACAAATAATGTATATATTTCAAATTAGGGCATTTTCTCCCTTTCTCCAATATTGCTCCCAAGGCCAAATTTCACCCATTATACACAAATAACCTATTTTCAAGATCTTACATACACATATGAAGCCCAAATAAGAAAACCCATCTTTTAAATATTCAAACTCAAATCCTAACTTTACCCAAAATTTTCCAAATCCCACAATTTATACCAAATGACCAATATTTATGTCAAAACTCATATTAAGGAGTAGTTTATCCCTACCTCAAAGTTAGGAGCTCAAAGGAGAAGAATGAAAAACTTGAAAGTGCTCCAAATCTACACTTTTTCAGATCAAAAGGTAGCCCACGCGATGCTCTAGCTTTTTAACAAAGAGAGTAGGGTAGAATGACCCTAGATCAAGAGTATTTGCAGAGAGAAGGGGTATTTTAGAGAGAGAGGCTGTCGATTTAGGGTTTTGAAAGAAAAAGAGGTTCAAAAATGGTGTAAAAACACGCTGCTGTGAACTGGTATATGCGAGGCTCGCTCGAGTGAAGGAGTTGTCGCTCGAGTGACCAGACACAACAAATACCTCGCTCGAGCGCAAGAAACGTCGCTTGAGCGAATAATGCGAAACTTCAGATCTGCCACTCACGCAGACGCACGCTCGAGCACAAGTGTGCTTGCTCAAGCAAAGAGACACAAAGCTCGCTCGAGCGCAAGAATCTTCGCTCGAGCAAAGAAGCAAATACCTAAGGCTCGCTCGAGCAAAGAAGCCAAACCCTGGACAGCAACTGTTTGTTCCAACTGACAACCAACCTGTTCCAAACTTACCCAACACATCTCACAACTCAAATACAAGGAATTAAATGATGGAAACAAGATATAGACAACAATAAACAACCACGGAACCCAAGTCCGGAATACAATAAATGACGAAAAAAAATTGGGATTGCTATGATAGCTATCTCATCGGATCAGTTTGTTGTCAACCTTTAATTTTTTCCACCGTTCATTTTTTTTTATACAAAACTGATTTGATTACATAACTATCAATATCCGATCAACTTGATTTTTTACAGGCATATAATACTTGACGAGTTCTACACATTGAAACGATTTAGATTATCAAAACGGTACCTGTGGTGGGCCCTCACGAAACGAACAGTACCATTCAATCCGATCTCAGACTGGAGACAAGTTACTCCCTAAAAAAAATGACAATCAAACCAAACGAAGTTGCAAATCTATAAGGCTATTTCTGTCATTTTATGGAACAATTCTTAAATGTTTATTACTAGTTATTTATTAATAAAGTTATATTTACACGAAAGAAAACTATTATTCCCACACGTGAATAATGTGTGATTCTCTTTAATAAGGATAAATTATAAACACACTATTTAAAATTTGTTCAAAATATATTGTTTATTGTGATTTAAAAAATTACAAATATTTATTGTTAGAATTACTTATTTAACAAAATTAACATAAAAAATGAAATTTATAACAACTCTCTTACACAACAATAAAATTACCAAAATTACTAATTGAAATTTATTTTTATTATCATTTAAAATTGTTAATTGACTCAATAATTTATAGATAAAATGAGTTATTTGTTATGTGATTAGAAATTTTTTTAAAAAAATATATAATTTTCAGAATTTTAGAAAATAATTCATGTTTTAAACAAATACGAAGGCATGTATTGTAATTTACCCAGTTAATAAAAAATGATTTTTCAAAAATAGTTTGTATATAAAAATATAAATTTATGTTTATATTATAATTATTTTAAGTATTATGTGTCTATGTTTTTTTCTAGATTGTAACCTTTGTCTATGTTTAAGATTAAGATTAGTTTAGGTAACCTCTGCTCTGTTTGGCGCGTTTATAAACGAAAAATTGCAACTGCACAGACAGAAAGAAGAGAGAGAGAGAGAGAGAGAGCGAAAACCAGACCCAGACATCAGAAATAGAGACGAAAACTCTCTAAAAAGTGTTTTAAATCTCTCTAAACCATCACTCTCATTCGATCCAACGCCATTCCCATTCTACTTCTTCAATCTCCACTTTGATTCCCATATCTGTATATACACATACATACATATATACATATATATATATATATATTTGTTGTATAGTTTGTGCAATGGAGAGGTACGGTCGAGCAACGGCAATGGAAGGGTCGCAGTCTGATCCAGGAGGTGAAACCGGGCTCGAAGGTCAGTCCACTGACACTCATTACTTCAAATTTCGTTGAATTTCAATTGAATTTCGATTCGATTTGTTGCGAATTTGGGAATGTGGAATGTGTTTTTGAATTGGGTTTATGATTTTGCAAATGCAGAGCCTATGTGGCAGTTGGGGTTCGGGAGTGGTGTCGAGTCTTACCCGGAGCGGCCCGACGAGGCCGATTGTATCTACTATTTGAGGACCGGGTTTTGCGGGTACGGTTCGCGGTGTCGGTTCAATCATCCCCGGGACCGGGGTTCGGTAATTCTTCAAAGTCCCCATTTTTTTGTGTATATGTTAGGGCTTAATTAAAGGGTTTTTGATGAATGTTATGGGTGATCATTTTGATTTGGGCATGTAATTTTGTCTGATCTTGTCATTAGTTTGATTTGTAGTAGCTTTGTACCTAGATTTGATGCTGATTGCATATGATTTAGTCCTCTCTGCTTTGTTAGATTGCTTTAAAGTATTTGGAGTGTTGGTTTTTTGGGGAAAAAAAATGTTGTTTTGATTATGGACTTAGTAAAATTGGAAAGAATGATTGAGAAATTGATATGTTTTGGTTAAATGTGATGGAAACACACTGTCAGGTTGTGGGGGTTATGAGAGCTGGTGGAGGGGAGTTCCCGGAGCGAGTGGGTGAACCCGTGTGCCAGGTATGTGGTTTAAATGCAATTTTTTTTTATAATCATTTTTAGATTTTCAAATAATTGCTTGATGGTTGATATTGGGCAAGGGAAGTTTGCAAAATTCCACTGTGTTATGTGTTAATTTGTTTAGATTCGGTAAAAAGAATGAGTTCTGGTATTGTTATTTATGAATATGTTTTTTTCTTTATTTTGGTTCCACATTTGATGGAAATTGTAAGTTTCTATTTTGACTGTGCCTCATTGTGGTGAATTTGTAGTATTATATGAGGACTGGTATGTGTAAATTTGGTGCTTCCTGCAAGTATCACCATCCGCAACAGGGAGGTGGATCTGCTATCCCTATGACACTAAATATTTACGGATACCCATTTCGACCGGTCTGGATTTTGTAATTGCTTTTGTATATCATTAGATTTCATTTGATTTTCTTTGGCATGTGCTATTAAGTTGGCTCAAAATTAGAGTTACTGTCTCAGGGTGAAAAAGAATGTTCATACTATGTGAAAACGGGGCAGTGCAAGTTTGGTGTAACCTGTAAATTCCATCATCCACATCCGGCTGGCATACAAATGCCGGCACCAAATGCTGGACCTTTGCCTATGCCAGCACCTGTGCCTGCTGCAATTTATCCTTCAATACAATCTCCTTCTGCTCCGTCATCTCAACAATATGGAGTGGTCGCTGGAAATTGGCCAGTTGCAAGGCCTACTTTAGTTCAAGGTTCATATCTTCAAGGGGCTTATAGTCCTGTGCTGCTGTCTACAGGGATGGTTCCCTTTTCTGGTTGGAATCCTTACCAGGTTGGTGCATTAGCTTCCTTGGAGAGTTCTCTCTCTCTCTCTCTCTCTATATATATATATATATATATTTCCTATTAAGTTGTTGACCCACCTGGTGCAGGCATCTGTAAATCCAGTAGCTTCCCCTAGTTCTCAGTCTACCATTGGAGCAAGTCCGATTTATGGGCTAACACAATTATCTCCTTCAGCACCTGCATATGCGGGAGCTTATTTACCCTTGCATGCTTCAGCTGGTCCATCAAGTAGTAACCAGAGGGAATATGCATTTCCAGAAAGACCTGGCCAACCTGAATGTCAATATTACATAAAAACTGGGAATTGTAAATTTGGATCATCATGTAGATACCATCATCCACTAGAATGGAGTTTGCCACAAATGAATTTTGTTCTTAGTCCGATGGGTCTTCCCTTACGTCCGGTATGTATATCTTGGTAGAAACTCCATTGCCATTATTGCTATAATACTTGTTTTGATGTATGGTACCAAATGGTGGGCGCATTGTTATCAAATTGCCAATTGAATCGTGAATTGTAAGATTCATTTTATGTAACCAACACATATAATTATATATACATAAAAATACACTTTCAAATAAAATAAATGTGTGTTGATGAAAGAAGATACCGAATACCATGCTATGATGACACCGGCTGTAAAGAATCCTCATATGTTGATGAAAGAATAGAAGTTGACAATGTGTATAAAATTATTTCAAGTGAGCCAATGAGCTGAGTAATGTACCAGTTAACTACTAATTGAGTGCCAGCACATCACTGTGCTGTCAGCCTGTCGCATACATTTTTAAGTACAACTTGGTTAATTTATGGTTTCTTGTAGTTCAATCAAAATTTGGGATGTGTGATCATATTGTATCAACCAAATTCTTTGTGAAAATACTCATCACCAATTTATGCCATTTCTATCTGTGAATTTCCTATCTATGACAAACTGAATGCCAATGGAGATCGGAAGCCTCGTGGTAAGTCTCAAATACTTGTTTGTTGGTCTCTATTAATTATTTTTTTCCCCTTAAAAGGTATTTTTTTGTTTCTTGCCTTCATTAAGGAGCAATATTGTATGAGGACTATACATGTGGTATATTCTTCACGGACATTATAGGGTTGAAATAGGTGGCTCTTTTGCTCATTGTCTGTTTATTCACGGTCATTATAGGGTTGAAATAGGTGGTTCTTTTGCTCGTTGTCTGTTTATTTATTATGTACTTGAAGGATAGGCAAACAATATGCCACCCTGCAAAGTCTGTCTGGTTTTATTAGATTATTCTTCACTGGGTATCTCCATTAAGCTGATTTTTGTCATATTTGCTTATTGAAGTTGTGGGAAAAGAGGATGAATGCTGAAATATGGTCTTCCCTTGACATGTTGGGTATCTCCATTAAGCTGATTTTTGTCATATTTGCTTATTGAAGTTGTGGGAAAAGAGGATGAATGCTGAAATATGGTCTTCCCTTGACATGTTGCTCTTAAATAAAGAAAGCATATTCATTTTGAATTTCGGTTTAGGTGGTGGATAGAGTCAAAGTCCTCATAGATTTTCTTCCCTTAATGAATTTCATGATGTTTGCTGCCAAATATGTTCTTGGGAATAGGATTTACATAGAGTTAAATGGGGGAGTAGGATTCATGCAGCCAACCCCCAGTAATTTATAGGGATTTATTATGTTTGAGTATATGCTGATAAAAAAATATGTTTGAGTATAGGATTATGTTTAGCTGCTTGATACCTTGTCATTTGAGATTCTGTTTTTTGGATTTATTGCATTTTTCTTTTTCAATTATTATAGAATTCTCTCTCTCTCCCCCCTTGAAAATTTTGATTTTGCTCTCCTGATGGCCATAGCAGTATACTGCAGTACTTCTTTTTATTTAGACGATTCTCTTTTGTTTTTAAGTGATCAATTAATTTATTCTTTTTTTTGATAGGTGATGGGGTTTGAACCCTAGTGTCTGCTCCATAATTATTCCCAAGTATTAGAGGGATACAGTTATAAGTACATATCATGTAGCTTGCATGGTCATGGTTTTTGTTTATTGGTTGGTGGCATCATCTCCATAATTGTTTTCAAGCATTAAAGTTCTATGTTTATAGGGGTTGCATATCATGTAACTTGTTTGGTCATAATATTTGTTTATTGGTTTGGTAACTGTGGTGGCCACTGGGGGTCTTGGAGACAATCAAAATATATGGCTTTCCACTTGATGGTGACCGTGTTGGATCAAAATGAGTATATGGCTCTAAAAAGAGGTGACTGGAGGAAAAAAATTCATTTGTCCTCCCATATTGTTTAGATTAAAGCTTGGTTGAGTTGAACTTTATCATTTTGGTTTGCTTATGTTGAATAGTCGATTCTTTAGTTATTATTTGTTAAATAGAAATGGAAAATGATTTGTTAAATGAATTTGTTCAGCGATTCCTGTGGATATTGGCTTGATATTTATCTATATATTTTATTATAAAAGCAAAGTGATTTGTCTCTTTTACAATTTGTTATCCTACCGATATAATTTATTTTACCTTGGAACAATTGCCTCTAGTATCTAATGTGTTTCTTACTTGATGGGACTTTCTTGTGGGGGTTCAAAGGGAGGAGTTTAAGAATCACTTGGTTAGGCTTGGGGATTCGTAACTTGGAATGGTTTAGTAAGACTTTGCTAAGTGAGTGTGTTTGGAGATTTTGCTTTAGAGAAAGAGAGGTTGACACAGGTGAATACCAAAGAGGAAAAAGAAGGTTGATGAACAAGAAATCACAACAAAGATAAGGAAAAGAAAAAGAGGATAGATCTATAATTCATTTAAAGATAATATTCCACAAAATCATTAATTTCTCTTCATAACTTCAAACTTCATGAAATCACAAAAAACAAACAACTTTTTAGAAAATTATGATTCCGCAGAACTTAAAAAACAAATATAATGAAGGTAGTTCTATTGGAAGTCTTCCAATATTTGCCAAGTCTAAGGGACTCCTTGACTTCCTTCTAAGCCACCATGGCATCCACTTGGGATTTGGCACGGTTGCCATGTTGGCACTTCCTCAGAGGTTGTGGAGGGAGGCGATGGGGAGGAAACATGGGAGGGTTTGGGAGAATTGGTCCACTGGTACAATCGTGAGGTCTTATAGGTGGATTTGTGGAGGAGTTTAATGAAGGCGTGGGGTGAATTTGCTAAACAAATTGTGGTTTCTGGGAGATGGTTGTAGAGTAAAATTTTGGCTTGATGTTTGGTGTGGTTGTAGGCTCTTGTGGGAGGTGTTTCCCAACTTGTTTGCCTTGTCAACAAGAGGGTTCAATTTAGGCTTGTTTGTTGGTTTCAAATAGTGGATTTGTATGGAATCTTGGTTTAGTAGAACGTTTGGGAGATTCAGTTGTTGGAGGCTTTTTTGGTTGTTATATGTTTTTGGAATCTGGGGTTTGAGGGATGAATCAGGACACTTTGATCTGGCATAGTTCAAAGAATGGTGCTCGTTATGGTGAAGCAATGATGGATGAGTTTTGTCAACAAAGACTTTTTCGGGTTTCCCTGGTTGGTCCGCATCATTTTGGAATTAGCTTTGCTAAGTTTTAGTGTGTAGTGCTCATTTCAGCGAGTAGCAGCACTATTACTGTCTGCGATGATGGAACAATGACAAAAGGTGATCGGTGACAGTGAGACCAAGCGAGGCAGCAATGGTGTGGTCTTTTTTATGGCAATAATGTCCGACAAGTTTGGCTTCACACAAAACATAGCATAAATTTAAATCATGATTATTAATTTCTTCCAAATCTCTTAAAACCTATTATACATGGTCTTATTTATAGGCATTCTAAATAAAACTAATGAATATAAAACAACCAATAAATAAAAATATAAGGTAATGCTTAATAAAGTAATAAATCATGGGTTAGGCTTCCCTTCAGTCCGTGATCGGACTGGAAGGTGTTGTTCAGCCTGTGGAGGCACGGGTTCCGTTTTGATAATCCGAACCTTTCAATGTATAGAACTCGTCGAGTACTATATGCTTGTAACAGAAATCTGATCCGATGAGATAGCTATCGATATCCGATCAACAAACATGATTTTTTACAGGCATATAACACTCGACGAGTTCTACACATTGAACGGTTCAGATTATTGAAATGGGGCCCATGGTGAGCCCTCACGGGCCAAACAGTACCCTCTAGTCCAATCACGGACTCGAGGGAACCTAGACCCATAAATCATAATCTTCAATTCATCTTTGCCCTCCGCCTTTTTTGTCCTCATCAAAGGAAATGTGATGTTCTGATATACAATTGTTCTGGTAAAAAATAGCAAAAATGATAGATGTGTTGAGGAAATTTTTAACACCGTGCCTTTGAATTTCTCACTTTCATTCTCATCTGGGCCTTGTTCTGTTTTTGGTTGGCTGCACAAGTCCAGTTCTACTTGTACACTTATGGCATGTTTGATTGGAAGGATTAGAGCATGGGATTGGGATTATTAATCCGCGGGCCCAATTATCCTATGTTTGTTTGACATTTTGTTTTAGGATTATCAATCCAATGGATAATTAATCCAACAAATTTGTAGGATTATTAGTAATGGGGTAGGGGTGGGATTGTGAATACCACACTAATTTGATTGGATTATTAATACTTCACTATTAATCTTGTGGAATCAAACATGACCTTAGAATCGTGGGGTTGAGTTCGCTAGTGCAATATTTTCATAAGGCTGTGGGTATTCAATTCATGGTAATTTGATTTGCAATTTTTTCTTTTTTCTTTCTTCTTTATTTTTTATTTTTATTGTATTTTATTTGTTTATTTATTTATTTTTGTGAGAGGAAAAACTTAACCTTGTTCAAGTACTGAATGTATATTAAATGGCCAAATCAATTGTATGTTTCTATTTGTGCTTGATTTGCTTAGTGGCCTAGTGGGAACCATGCTGATATGATGAGTGTGCTACTAGTAAAATGTTTGATTGAGAAGGAGTCAAATATCTGACTTATAACTTCATTCATATTGAATTACTGCTATATTCTCACTGTCTACCACAACTCATTTCAATTGTTTTGTGTGCTTGCACTCATCTAATCTTGTCATCTCTTCAACTTCTACTTCCACCTTGAAAGCTGGGATTGGATGTTGATTTCATCTTGTCTAGAACATCCATTCTTTGTTCATCTTGAAGCACATCTCTTCAAGTTACCGGATTTTACTTTCATTGGCAACATCGTTTTGATCTCTTCATCCATATTCACATATACAACCATCTATTATGCTGTCAATTACCAAACAAGATTGATTTGAATGAAAAATGCAACTGCTGCTGCAATGGCCAAGGAGCCAAATGTCTTAATTTTGACTCTTCTAGGGCTTACCTGGTGTAGATTGCTTTTGGATGATTGTGTGCATCCTTAGTATTGACTCAAAATAAGGGTTGGTGGCACCTTGACATGACATTAATAAATCATGATGTATGGATGCTTGCAAGATATGGAAATTCATTTTAATATATTAAGCAGTCACTTTTTTCCAATCTTATTTATGCGCTAAGATTCCTATGAAAGGCTCTTGATGTTAAGAAAGTGTAAATACACATGTCATGTGTTAGATAGCTTGATACACATTATTGGGCCAATTTTTGGATTATTTAGTGATCTAATATGGTTTAAAGCTATGGTTCTCAAAGGTATTGGGTCAAAGTCTCGTAATTACTTGTTCGTCCATAATATTTTTTTATTGTGCACTCTTTTCAACTCAATTTGTATGCTCGTTTTTTTTTTTTTTTTTATCTTGATGTACATTGTTGGGGCTATTTTGTAATCCAACACCATGCATGTGTGTTTTTGTGCATGATATCATTTTCATTCTTGTGTTAACCAAATACAGCATAAATGCGCCTCTAGCCCTATGCTACTTGACTGCATCTGATTTCTTCAATTCTCTGGTAGATAATCTGTTTTCTCAATTGTTTATTAGGGTGCACAGCTTTGCACACACTATGCTCAAAATGGAGTTTGCAAATTTGGGTCCTCATGCAAATTTGATCATCCCTTGGGAACACTGAGTTACAGTTCATCTGCATCTTCTCTTGCTGATATGCCAGTTGCTCCTTACCCTGTTGGATCTTCCATGGGTACTCTGGCTCCATCATCCTCTTCAGAGTTGAGGCATGAACTTATTTTGGGGTCCAACAAGGATGCCATTTCAACCAGGATGTCTTCTTCGACAAGCACATCTAGTGGTTCGGTTGGTTTGATTTTATCGAAGAGTGGGCCCGCTTCTCATCCTAGTGTTCAGCAATCTGATCAGGCTTCTGCGTCTTCAATCACCAGCAGTAGTGTGAGTCAGGGAGGTGAGGTTCACACATCAATCTAAACAATATATTATTGCAAAACCCTAATTGTTCCTCCAAAATTCATGAACCATGCATTATTTTTTGGGGGCAATACCTCTAAATACGAGGCTTGTTTTCAATCATCATGGTTCCATGATTCAGATCTAGCACACTGTTGCTCTGATCATGTCTGTTTTCATATAATCTTTATATGCCCTCCTCTTCTTTCATCTTGAATAAGTGATGCCCAACTTCAAAATCGGGCAAACCATATACTGTTCCCAATTTTCTTCCTAATAACCAAGAAGAAAAGGCCCACTTCCATTAACCAATGTTGCACCATCTCTTCAATTTTGGAGTTTGTTGTGTTAATTTATGCTCTGAAAAAGATTAGTACTACACCTCTCTTCCTTCCATATTTACTGCGTTAGCCCGTCTTTTGTACCTCTCGAAATCTGGGACCAAGCTTCCAATTCAACTTTGGAATGAAATTTGGATGTGTTCTTGTTCCCCTATTTTTCTGTCCCGGGCGGGTTCTATCGTGGTAAAACAGTCACTCCAGAGACTCCAAGGATGAGCTGGATACATATGTTGTGAAAACTTCAATTGCTTGATGGTTCATGATAAATTTATCACCAAAAACAAACAAAAGAACGTTGAAAAACCAGAGATTCTGTAAAAGTAATTTATGTCTTTATTTCTATCATTGTTTTATGAGACTGGTGATGACTATATTGCTTCTCTGAGCTTTGCTTTTTATATGCCAAATATGGAGCAATTTTGGGGTAAATCTGTGGTGATTGAGGGACATTTTGATGTGTTTATCACAAATATATTTGGTAAGTGAGATTTGTTGACATAGAAATGATCATTTTATGCATGTATAGTACTTTAGGTGAATCTTCGTCCTGTGATTTCTCTTGAACTTGGCATGTTTAAATGTTCAACTGGTTCCGCTTGACCATGAAACACAATGCACATTTGTTTTTGTTTTTTGTTTTTTGTTTTTTGTTTTTTGTTTTTTTATTCTCGAAAACAGAAAAATATGAATATTGATGTGGAATACTTGTTCGAAAATCAGATATGGAAAACTACTCTCAGGAAAAAAAATTATTTTTTGAAAACTCCCTCTTTTTAGGATACTCTTTTAAATTGTTTTTATGAATTTTCAAATACTGTTTCTTTTTAGGATACTCTTTTAAATTGTTTTTATGAATTTTCAAATACTGTTTTTGAAAAAAAATAAAAGTTATGTAGTGTGTTTGGTTTGAATTTTCTTAATTAAGTTTTTTGAAAATTGATTTTTTTGATTTTTGTGTTTTTTTGTTTTTAGTGAATATTTTTTAAATTTTAAACATTTTTTTTTTATTTTTTTAGATGCATTTTACTTAGATGTATTTAAAGAGTAAAAAATTTATGAAAAGATATTTTAAAAAATTAATAAATATATAAAAATGTAAAAAATGTACTGAATTCTTTATATATATATATATATATATATATATTTGATATTTAGTGAATTTTTAAAAGATTTTTTTTATAATTTTTTTAATTTTTAGGTGTATTTATGTTAGGTGTGTCTAAAAAGTAAAAAATTTGTTTAAAATATTAAAAAAATCAGTAAAAACAAAAAAATACGAAAAATAAAAAAGTAAAATTTTTTGAAAAGTGAAAACAAGCGTTTTTCTTTTTTCTTTTTTTTTTTTGTTTTTCCATTGTTTTTGGAGAAATAAAAATGAAAATTTGGAAGCAATAATGAAAGAGCTCTCTTCAGTTAGGGTTGAATTGTGGAACTGTTTTCAAAAATTTTTATTTTTTGCGTTTGGGATGTGGGTTGATTTTTTGATTTTTTTTTAACTTTTTTAGCTTATTTTAGTATGGAGTTAAAAAGTCTCGTTTAGAATAAATTTTTTTGGCCTTTTTAACTTTTGTGAGAGAAAAAAAGAAATAATTATGAGTTAGATGTGATATTTTGTCATATTAGGTTAAAAAGTAAATTTTATCTTTTTATGGCTAAAATAGCCAAAAAGCTTGGCATGCCAAACGAAGGCTAAAAAATAGTAGTGAAATATTTGAACAGCACCTATTGTCTTTTGGGTGATTATTCATTATCCTTAGAGTATGAACACATAATACTTCATAAGGTTTTGATTGGTAGAGAGGGGTAGAGGTCCACGATTTATATTAGGGATGTGGGAACAACATGGGACTAAATAATTAGTAATTGACTTGGAGTATGGCCATGTGGTGTTTCGAGATTATTAAATAATTTCCCTTATTGTTTATATCATTTTAATTTTTCTGTGAAAATTATTTTAAAAAATATGAAAAACAATGGAGTACTTACGTGTATATCCTAATAAGTGGACTTAGGCCTCGTTTGGGAACAGGTTAATTTAGTAACTTTTTGGCTATTTGGCTAAAAAGGTAGGTAAAAAAAACTTGTATGTTTGGGATGACTTTTTGGCTAATTATGAAAAAATGTGCAAAAAGTAGAGAGAAAAGAGAATCTTTGACTTTTTGGTATGGGTTGTTGGCTTTTTGGCTAATTTAGTAACTTTTTAGCTAATTGGCTAAAATAGCCTCTTGCCAAACGAGGCCTTATTGTCTAGTAGGTCCTATGGGAAAAATTTGTCATAAAAAACTTCACTAATTATAAGTTTTAGCCACAATTTATAAAAATTATGACAAAAAAAAGTCACTAATTGTCAATTTTTAGCGACATATATAAAAAATTGTCACAAAAAAATTATTTTTAGTGACAATTTTATCAAGACTTATTTTTAGTAGGACTTGATAGGAATTAAGTCCAACTAATAGGACCTATTGGTGGTTTATCCAAAAACAATGTCCGTGAGTGTTTTTCAAAAAAATAGTATTTTTAGAAGAGTAATGTTAGAGCATCTCTAACGTAGTAGGCATTTTACCTATTTAAATATTACTATAAAGTATATATTTTATTTTACCTATCAACTGTTTTTTGTTTTTACTCCAACCATGCTCTTTATTTTAGCTATTTATCCAAATACTATTAATTTTATAAAATGTCACGTCAACAACAAAGATGGAGGGAAATGATCCTAATGATTGAATACATTTTGCCTAGCGTTGAAGGCTAGCTACATGTAGCTAGTGAATATGAGTTGAGCCAAAATGCCTAATCATATGCCTAGTGCATTGGAATTAAAAAAAGTGAATAACACTAGGCATTTTAACTAACAAGTATTATATGCCTAGTGCATTGAAAATGCTCTTAGGGTTTATGAAAAAAATACCATAAAGATGCTCATGAAAAATCATCCACCGTTAGATTATACATATTATAAAACATTACACACTAATCAAATGATGAAAAATTTTCATGAAGTATTTCATGATATTTTTTTTCATAATCCTTAATATTTTTCTTTTTAGAAGGGAAAAAAAATTAAAAATAGTGCTTTTAGAAGGGAAAAAAAAATTCCAAAACAATTTCAGAGCCAGTTTGCAAAACAAGTTTCAGTTTTACTTTTTTCTATTTTTAAGAATAGAAAAATGGAAACAAAGCCAAATGCACAACCCTCACAAACAACAAATTTGTTTTAAGCAAAAATTACGAAAAGGATGTCGTTTAATACATATACAGCAGGGACCCAATTATCAGAAAATGGTACCCACTAAACTCTAAACAAATGTTAAGCTCACAATGATCATATATCCTGACCATCATTATTATATAAAATAAAAATAAAAAAAACATGAAATTTTGAGGAACTTCGGGAAACAAATTTTCATTATCTTAATAAAACCGAAACACTCTCTCTCTCTCTCATGAAAAACAAAAAAGTGTAATTACAACAGAAAAAAGGGTTGCAAGAAAACCAAGAACACAACAAAAAAACAGATGGTGCATTTAAGTTTGTGGATGATGATAACTAATATTACCACCTTAATCAGAGGATGATGATGATGAAGTTTAGTCAGACCATGAAATCAGTAGAAAAGAGAGTATCCAAAATCATCAACTCCACCACCAAATGGAGGAGAAACTGAAGATGATGAAGTTGCTGAGGAAGAGATCGCAGGCATTGATCCATAATCCACCAGATTTCCATTGTTTGGATACAAAGTTTCCATCAATGGGTTGTTGTTGTTGTTGTTGATCATCTCCGCCGACACGGGTTCACAAGAATTCATCTCCCATGGCTGCTGATCACTGCCCCAAAATCCATAGTTAAGTCCATCAAAGTAAGGAAGCTCACCACCACCACCAAGTACTGCACTGCTTTGATCCCAATGTGTTTGGTTACTAGGAAAACCTGCATTTGAAGTAGTACTACTACTAGCATTGTTGTTAGGAGGCTTCAAGCAGCTATCTGGTACTATGCAGCCCAGATAACCTGAGTTTGAATTATCAGATGATGAGAAAAAGAAGTTATTATGGTTATTTGGTGATGACCCATATGAAGATTGAGAGCCAGAGTCATTGTCAGAGCATGGACTGTTGTGATGATTGGTTGGTTGTTGGGTTTGAGTCTGAGTCTGAGTCTGATCAGTGGTTGTGGTGGTGGGGAGGAGGAGATGTGGTGGTTGAAATAGGGTTTGGAGACCAAAAGCTGTGTTGTTGGTGGTGTTGTTGTCAGAGTAGACAAAGTTGGTTCTTGCTTGAGTGCCCTTCATGGAAAGGGCAGCCCTATCATAAGCAAGGGCAGCTTCATGGGCAGTGTCAAAAGTCCCCAGCCAATGCCTTTCTTTTGTGGTGGGGTCCCTGATTTCGGCAGCATAGCGGCCCCACGGCCGCCGCCGAACTCCAAGAAACCGCCCTGGCTCGGCTGGCTTCCGCCGGCCTCTCCTCTCACTTGGCTGAGGAGGGGAGGTGTTCCGTTGGAGGAGTGAAAAACCGGTGGGAGCCAGGGTGGGGTCAAAGGCTTGGAGAGTTTTATCAGAGGTTTTGGAGGTGGACATTGGTGGAAGTTAGTAAAGAAAATGGAGTTTGAATGAGTCAAGGATAGTGACTATGCTAGGGAGGAGGTATACAGTGGTAGAGAGGGAATGTAGAAGGTGAAAGAAGTGAAGTTCTGAGTTTGAGAATCTGGAAGTGTGAAGGACTGTAGGGAACTCATTTAAAGGTAAGAATTTTCAAAATTTCTATACAGAAATCGGTTGTTAGAATGATATGACAGTAACATAAGAGATATGTTAATAAAAAATTTTAAATATTATTTGAAAGTGATAAGTGCATAATTTTTTCATATCAATATTTTATATACATTTTACAATTTATATACAAAATTATTCATCAAAATAATGTGACTGCGACATTTTTTATATTAAAAAATATGTTATACCTCACAATCATCATTTTTTATGTATTTTTTGTTTCTATATCTATTTCTTTTTTTTTAATTGTATAAATATTGAGAGAGAGAGAGAGAGAGAGAGAGGACAATGAAGATGTCCTTGAATGGAAGGGCTATGCTATGGGTTCCTTTTTCCACCCACTTTTGAAATCTTTCTCATGCTTTTTTGGGGGAGTCTTTAAATCCTGTAGTCCTTGATATCATATAATTATGGGCTAAGTAATAGGTGAAATTAATGATATCCCAAAAAGTAGTCAAAATCTTCAAATGGGGGGTTCCCTAACCAAACTGTTTCACCTCTTGTTCATTCACAACACTACTTTCACTTTGTTCCAAGTTTCATCTAAGTATACAACATATACATAAAATTCAAATTTAAACACATTTTTAAAATTTGATAAGTTTTTAAAATAAACTTAAAGAGACTATTACTCAAATTTTTTTATTTATTTTTGGGACTGAGCTATTATTCAATTAAATTTAACTTACTTACATTGATAAATTTCAGGATGAATACAATGTTAACATTACAATGAAAAAAAATTCTGTGTTGGTATTGTTTCCCAAAGTGGGAGGGACAGAATTAAACAAATAGCACAACTGAAATACAGTGGACAAATATGACTTTACCTCTCAACTTGCAAACAAAGAAGTTTTCTGTGCTAACCTCAGTCAATTCCTACTACTGTGGAAAATTACAGTAATAGCCTTAGAAATCTTAAAAATTAGAGCATTGCATGGGAATCTTTAGATTTCATGGAGGGAAAAATTAAGAAACATAATTGAATGGTTGGTAGCAATTAATTTTTAAATATTATCCTTGAGAGCAAAGATAAAAGACCAAAAAATAAAAAAATAAAATCAAGATTCCCAATTCTATATGTGTTGTGCCTAGTATTTAATCTTTTACATGGTCGATTGTGTTAGGTGACTTAGCCCTGGTTGGCATTTGTTGTGGGCTAAATAATCACATATGGATAAAAAAAAATTACAAAATCATAAAATACCAAAACACTTGAGTTGGGATGCAAAATTACCAAACTAACCCATATACAAACAAAAAGTCAAATAAGCATCATTTTCAAGTAGAGGGTAATTTTGTCATTCCAATGCAAAAAAGCCAAACAAAAAAACCAAGCAAACAAAAAAGTTTCAGGCTAAAAATTCAAAAAAAAACTAAAAAACCAATTAAAAAAGCCATTGTCAAACGAACCTTACGTAAAAATTTTATCAGATCTCTAGAAAACATGAATCTTAACATGAAAATGCGAGTTTGGTTAGGTTAACTCCTAGAGAGACTCAAACACATTATGAATTTTGAGTGTAGTAGTACTAATATTTTTGCATATAATTAAAAGGTCTCATATAAGCACATGTAAATCCGCATATTATGCAAAGTAAATCAGCTAAATTTCTTTCAAGTCCTTGTCTGCTTCATGGGTTTTCAAAGGGAGCAGTTAAAGATTATCTCTAACCAAATTGAATATAAATTTTTATATACTTAATTCAGATATTCTTTTAGGTTTTATTGTCCCATGAATATGATATAGACAACAAACATCACAGTCCAAAGACAAGAGAATCACTTCCTCATAAGTCAAAGTTTATGCTATATTTTTTTGGTTTGTCAGTTTCATATGCTTCTCATATGGATTTTATGACTATTGTTCTACTTTGTACAAGAGTAAGCATGGTGGTAAATTGATGTTTCTTATAATATTCATATGGTTCAGTGATATTGACAATATTATTAGATAATTTTGTATGACTTATTTATTGTATAATAATTTATTATAATTTTCATGATATTTGTATAAAATAAAAAAAGAAGAAGTAATAATAATAAGTAGCACAAAATGTTGTTCTATTCATTGCTAAATATCAATACATTTTTAAGAATGTATGGATATTACAAAAACAAAAATGCTGAGTGCCCAAAATTTATGCCCACAATTGTATATAGAGAAAATTAATGTATGATCTAAATTCAATTCTTTTATATGATGAAAAAAGATTTCAGGAACGATTGATTCAGGATTCAGTGAACTTAACGTGAATTAGTTCTTTAAGTATTTGGACAATGCTCTACGAGCGCCAAATACTTTCTTCATATGATTCTGCTTAAAGATCCATTTAAATTTGATTCAAAATTATTAAATTTATTTGAAAGTAAAAATTAGTAAAATGTGAGAGGGAGATGGGGTTTTTGTCTCTCAAAAAGTAACTATTAAAAGGCTATAGTCAAAAGGGCAAACAAAAGGTTAAAGGACACTTGGGAAGCAAGGTGGATCAAACCGCCCCCCCACCCCCCAAAAAACAAAAACAAGGTAGGCCACTAATCCATTTAATTAGCAGTTCCAGGACATTTATAACTCTTTTTCCTTAACTTTTGATCAAACCCACATGCCCAAATGGCATTGGGAACAACATAAACTAATCATAATCAAATGGGTCAACCACTTTTATTGATTTTTGCATTTTCAAAATCCTTGTGTTGTTGGCAATGGACACTGTTGTGGTCTATTCTAATTCAATAATGTAGCTAATAAAATTATGTTGATGGAGAAAGTTGAGGTGTATTAAAATGATAGAAAACAAAAATGAGACAGAGAGAAGATTAGAAGGATGCATAATATAATTTTTATTTTATTTTATGAATAATGTTAGGCTCCATTTGTTTGGGCTTATAGGGAGGGGATTGGGATTGACAGTGAGGTGAGACTACTATATGGGGTGTTTGTTTTGAGAGATGGGGAGGGAACTCCTAATCCCTTGATATTAGTAAAGGCCTTGGAATGAGGATTGGAATGGAGAAGGTAGAGATGGTATTAGAAAAATAGTGAGGGGATTAGAAATTTTTTTATTTTTTTAATTTTTTATATATTGAGAATTTTTAAAAAAAATATTGATGTTTAATTTTTTATATTTTTTTATTTTTTTTTAAAAATATTGATGTTTAATTTTTTATATTTTTTTATTTGTTTTATTATTTTATATAAAAATAATTTAACAATTGCTACACTAACAACTATTCTCAAAACAAACACAATTTTACTTAATCCCCTCACTATCAAACCCCTCACTAACAATCACTTCACTATTAATCCCCTCACTATGAATCCCCTCCATTCTACCTCTGAAAACAAACGGAGCCTAGGTATCAATTGATATATCAATTAGTATACTAACAGATAATATGAAATAATTTTTAAAATTTTAGATATTTGTAATTTGTATAATGGTGAGATCAATAATAATATTATAACATATGTTGATACATTAATTAATATACTAATTAGTATATATAACACTACCGTTATTTTATTATTACTTTTAGATTGCCTTCTTTTTAGAGAGTGACATGGACTTGGAATCCATGACCCTTGACTCCTCCACTAAAAATTTCAAGGGATAAATAAATTATATGTATATGTTTAGATTTATTTATTTTATTTTTAAAATAAAAATTTAAATTTGAAGTTTGAAAAGAGTCACATTTATACAATTTACATTATGTGTGGAATTTAAAGTAATTTTATCGTTGTGTACGAATACCAGCCTTAAATAAGAAAATTTCAAATCTCCATATAAAAAATTGGATATTAATAACCAAACTTGTAAGTCAACTTCTCACAAGCCTTTTAATTGACATTTTACAATCCAAGTTGTGATTTTCACTCTGAGCCTTAAAACAAAGATAAAAATAAAATAAAATCTCATATGGTTTAAAAATTTGAAAAAGATGATGGACTATTAGTTGGGAAATATGATTACAATTATAGAACTAATTCAATCTTTTTTTCATAAATAAATAAATTAATACAAATAATAAATTTTATTATCGAAATGAAATCTGTAATAATGTTATGGCCTAAGCTGAACCGATTTAGACTACGGAGACAAGCGGCTCCATAATTGAAAAGGTAAAGGGAGAGTGAGGCAGTCAAGCCTCAAATATGAAAAGGTGTGAGCCACTTGGGTGTCCACTAAGACCATGCATGTGTTAGGAGTGAGGCAGTCAAGCCTCAAATATGAAAAGGTGTGAGCCACTTGGGTGTCCACTAAGACCATGCATGTGTTAGTAGTAGGATAGTTTGACAAAGTTCTTAGGTTTTTCCTTAAAATGGATGATGTGTTTGTTTTTTTAGAACAAAACAGAAGAGAGAATGGACAAAAATACAAACTTAAGGTGGAGTGGAGCCACACTCACTCTCTCACTCTCTCTTGAAAGATAGCTAATACACTGATGACAAGAGAGAGAGAATATTGCACACACTCCAAAATGGAAAAACATGGGGGTCATATATATGCAAGCACACACTTTTTGTCTAAGTTTTAAAGGTCCCCCTCAATTTAGGGAAAAAGATTGTTTTTCCTTACGACTTAGTACTTGAAAGAACTTGGACTTTGACGAAAGAGAGATAGAGTGTGTGTGTGTTTTGATAAGATATACTTAAGAGGGGTGGTGAAGAAATGTTCCTCTTTTCTCTGTTTGACCGCTTAAGAATCTAACGTTTTTGTTTAATTAATAAGATTAGTAAAAATTAACAAATTATGAAATTGGTATATAAAGAGATTTGGAACATGGGCCTTTTAAAATTGGGAGTGTAAAACCATCACTTCGGTGGTTTTATGAATGAGTTGGACCTAACTTAAATGTAAATGTGAAAAAAAAATTAAAAATTAAAAAAATTAAAGAGTTATCAAAAAAA